ATCAAAACTATGAACAATAAGATGGCGATAAATACATATCAACAATTGAATCTAAAAAACAAACTTAAGCAAACAAGAATAGAGGCAGAGTCATGGATTCGGAGAGTGTTTTGATTGTTGTCAGATGGGGGTGGGGAGGAGAGGGAATGAGTGAAGAGGTGAGGGCATTAAGAAGTACAAACAGGTAGTTACAGAATAGCCTTGGGGATGTAAAGTACAGTATTAACACCTAAGGAGATATAAAAATGGATGAATATGTAGAACATTGCTATCACCAATCATAAATAGCTTCCTTACCAGTAGCTATGATCAGTCCTGACTTTTAGGGTAACCACATCTTTACCTTTTTTTATACCATTTAAATATGTCAGCATAGACAATATAGTTCAATTTATCCTTCCTGAACGTCATTGAAATGGAATTTACAAAACGTAAGCTTTTGTGTCTAACTTTTTTTGCTGAACATGTAAATGTTAAAAACATCATTGTTATTGCATGTTGCTGTAGTTAGTTAACTTTGTTTTATTACTGTGTAGTAATCCAGTATTTGTATATAATACAGGTTTTCCATTTTATTGTTGGGTTATCTCTAAGATTTACTGTTGAGGCTATTATCACAAAACGCTGCTCTTAATATTCTTCTAATGTCTGCTGATGATATATGTGGGCACTAATCCCTAAGGTATATACCTAGGGGTGGAATTAACTGAAGAAGGTAATGAGTTTGTGCCAGGACAATTTCAATATGTGATATATTAAGCTAGTATGGAACAACTGAGTTGGTAAGAGAAACAGATCCATGAGTGTATGCAAGGTTGCTATATGACAGAGTCGCTATTTGACCCTGAATACCAATAGGGAAAGAAAACAGCATTTGATAAATTGTGCCCCAAAAGTTGGTATTGCATAGGAATGGAAATGAAATTAGATTCTGACTTCCCCACATACAAAAACTGATAACTAATTATAAACACATAAATATAAAAAGCAAAACTTTAAACTTTTATTTCTTGATTTATTTTTTTTTTGAGAGAGAGGGGAAGGGAAGGAGAAAGAGAGAGGAATATCGATGTGCCAGATTTCTCAATCGGTTGCCTCTCACAGACTGCTGCCTGGGTACCTGGCTGGCAACTCAGGCATGTGCCCTGACTGGGTATTGAACTGGCAATTCTTTGCTTCTTGGTCTGTCAGTCAGTCCACTGAGCACCACCACCCAGAGCGGAAAAACTTCATAATATTACTGTCAGAAAGGATTTTATAAACAGGATCTCAAAAGCAGTATAACCATGTAGGTAAAAATTGATATACTGGGTTATATTAAAACTAAGAATTTCTGTTAATCATACATCATGACAGACATAGGAGGACTTTCTATAAAGTGGAAGAGTAAATTTATAACACTGATCTTGTATACATGTTTTATATCCAGAATATGTAGCAACAAAAAAAATGATACAAATCAATACTATTATATAATCTAGCAATTACCTTTTAGATGGCTTAGAAAAACTCTTGCATAAAGGGCACTAGAAAAGAGTTTAAAAATGAAGCAATATTGGTTATAATGTATAGAAAAAGGAGACATAGATTAACAGAAAAAGAAGTAAGTATATTGTAATTTTTCATACAATGGAATGTGATATGGTATTAGAAATTAATTATAGCTGATAGTCTTAGAAACATAATATTAAATGAAAGAATCAAGTCCCTAAATATATAGTTGCTGGTATTATTTTTATTTTAGAAAAGTACAGAAACTGAAAGTATTATATTGGTATAGATATGTCATAAATCATATTTTTAAACTGCTTATCTCTTCCTCTGTTTTCTTTTTTTCTGAAAAGTTCAGGTCCTAAATCATACAGAGTATGGAAGTCACAGTGATCCTGAGCTGGGTTTTGAAGCCTTAATGGGGTGAGGGAGTTGGGATATGGCATGAGAGGGAGAGAATATAAATCATGTCACAGCCCACGTAGGATGAGAAGGATGCTCCTATGAAGAGTGTCTTCTTTGGGGTGTCAGGGCCAACGAGTTTAGGAAGGTTTCAGTCCAGATCTCAGTAGAAATTTCTAAAAGTCTCTGAGTAGGCATTTGCATTTCTTATAAGCCCCTAAGTTGATTCTGATGTATATGGTCTGCAGGTGGCACTTGGTGAATTCATATATGTAGGGGATAACCAGGAAAGCAGAAAATATTTTTTTATTGCATGGAGAAAGGAGCCTAAGATAAGGCACAGAAGTAGAAGTTGAATTTGGCTAGTAAGGAGAACAGTAAAAAAATAATAATAAATGATTAAGTAAGTAAATGAATAGTAAATAGATTTCATGACCAAGTAGGTTATGCAAGACTTGGTCAATATGCAAAAATTAATTAGTGTAATCTATCACATCAGTATGCTAAAGAATAAACCCACGGTCATAGCAATAAATGCAGAAAATGAATTTGACAAAATCATGATAAAAATTCTTAGCAGTCTAGGAATAGGTAGAAAGTATCTCAACATAATAAAGACCACATAGAAAAACTCACAGCTAATGAACATTAATGGTAAAAGACCGAGAACTTTTCCCTTAACATCAGGAACAAAGAAAGGATGCCCCTTTTGCCACTTCAATTCAACATACTATTGAAATTCCTAACCAGAGCAGTTAGGCTGAAATAAAAAAAAGTAAAAGGCACTCAAATTACAAAAGAAAAGTGAAATTAGCTCTGTTCCCAAATGCCAAAGTCTTCTATTTGGAAAACCCTAATGATTACACACACACACACACACACACACATACCCACACACACCCACACACACACACCGCTCCTCCCCCATGAAGCTATTAAACTAATTCAGTAAAGTTGAGAGTCAAAATCACCTTACAAAAAATCCGTTGCATTTCTATATATTGCTTTTCAAAAAGAAAATAGGGAAACAATTCCATGTATGTAACATCAAAAAGAATAAACTTAAGATGGCAAAAGACTTCATTGAAAACTTATAAAACATTGTTGAACAAAATTAAAGAAGATGTATAAATAAATGGAAAGACAGCCTGTGTTTATGGATTAGAAAATTTAATGTTAATATATCAGTACTATCCAAAGCAAACTACAGACTCAGTGTAATTTCTACCAAAATCCCAATGATATTTCTTGCAGAAATAGAAAAATCCATCCTAATATTCATGAAAAATTTCAGGGAATACCAAATAACCAAAACAATCTATTTGGAGGACTCACACTTCAAGATTTTTTTCTTTCTCTACATTTTTGCACAGGCTGGTACCTTTACTGTTAGGTTGAATATAAGTGATAAGAGTAGACATTTGCTTTGTCCTTGATATTAGGTAAAGTGTATTGTCTTTCACATTAAATATGAAGCCAAAAGGAAATCACCTACAATACCATTGCTTAAGTCCCAGGTCACTAGCAAATTTGTTTGCTTATGTTTATGTTATATATAATTTCCAGGATATTTAGTTGTACTCAGTGGGAGGATGGGTAGAAGTGTCTATTACATCTTTGCCTGGAACTGGTATCACCTTAATTTTTAAAGATGTTTTTTCTTTATTTAGAATTCTTAATGACTTTAGAGTCCACCTTCCCCTCACTCCCTCTCCTTTTTAGCACTATAGTTGTTAGTTCATTGCCTTCTGGCTTGTATTGTTTCATACATGAAATCCGCACTCATTCTTTTTTTTTTTTTAAGATTTTATTTATTTCTTTAGAGGGGAAGGGAAGGAGAGAGGGAGAGAAACAGTAATGTATGGTTGCCTTTTGTGCATCCCCTGCTGGGAACTGGCCTGCAGGGAACCGGCCTGCAACCCAGACATCTGCCCTAACTGGAAATTGAATCGCGATCGTGTGGTTCGCAGGCCTGTGCTCAATCCACTGAGCTACACCAGCCAGAGCCCTCATTCTTATTTTTATACTCCTGTTTATATCATATACTTTGTCTTCTAGCCCCTTTTATTTTCTTCATCAAGTAGTTTTCAACAAGTGTATTATGATGTAGTATGATTTGCCTTAACTTGTTTTATTTGAATTTATATTTCTTGTGGTTTGTTTAGCTTTTTGGAACTTCGATTGTATACTTTTTATCATATTTGGAAAATTTTGATCATTACTCTTTAAATTTTTTTCTCATTGTGAATTTATTTACATTGTGGGTGTCACATTATTGTGTTTCTGGTTTTTGTTCTTTCCTTAGTGTTTAATTTATTTTTGGCAGGCTGTTAAGTTACTTGTAGATCAGCTTAGATCCTTTTGAAAATAGTTTTTGAGCTTTATTAGGGCCAGCATTTACTCCAGGGAGAGTTGAGACCTGTAAAAATGGGTAATGTTATCCTCTGGGATCTCTATTTAATGTTCCTGATATTGGGCAATGTCTTTCTACTCTGCCTAGTGGAATCTGGTTATCTACCATCATCTATGAGCCTCTGGGAATTGTTCAGGTTATTGTACTCTGGTAGTTTTTTGTCCAGCTTTACAGAATTTCACCCTGCACATGCATAACTTAGTATTTAGCAGTATACTAAAGGAGACCCATACACAGATTTCTAGAGTTAATTTTTGTCCATAACTTTGTTCGATACTTGGCCCCACAGATTTTCAGGTACCTTAGCCTCTCTGTACTCTGACTGGTCTCTCTTTTCAACCCATCAAGTTGGACATTCTCTGCTTTGATTCTGCTTCTACTACAGTCCTCATATAACAGAGTAGTTATAGGCCTCATCTCTTTCCCTCTGTTGTTTTGGGGTTTTTCCCAGTTTTTCTTAGGGATTGTAGTGCTGCACTAACCATTGTCTGATATCTGATGATTGTTTCGTTAGGTTTATAGTAGTTGACTGTATTTCTGTCAGCAGAAGTCAGGCATCTGTTACTCCAGCATGGCTAGATGAGGAAGACTCCATATCTCTTCTTTTAATTGTTGTTATGTTTTTTACAATAGACAATCATTTGTAGGAAAATATTATTTCATCATAAAATTATCTTTAAACTTCTTTTTATAGCTTTACTGAAGCAGCAGTTGAGATTCCCAGTCCTCCTGAAACCCCAGCCAAACCTCTTGAACCTGAAAGTACCTTGCAGCCTGTGCTTTCACTTATCCCAAGAGAAAAGAAGGCCCCACGTCCCCCAAAGAAGAAGTATCAGAAAGCAGGGCTGTATTCTGATGTTTACAAAACTACAGAGTAAGTAATAGTACCTATTAGCTGACATACTTTTTTTTCAATTGAATTTATAGGAATCACATTGGTTAATAAAATTATGTTGGTTTAAGGTATACAATTTTACAATATATCATCTTTATATTGTATTGTATAAACTACCCCAAGTCATGTCTCTTTCTATTACCATTTATCTTCTTTTAACCTCTCCTGTCTTACCCTAATCCCCAGCTGACACCCTTTAAAGACCCTGTTATTCTTCCATGTTTCAAATTACTCTTTGACAATCAGAAGACAATATAAATGTAATGTATACAAATATGAATCTCATCACAAACACCACAACATTCACTATAGTCACACCACTACACTATGTTGTTTGTGGGTAATACATCTTCCCTGATCTGTACCTACTCTCTAACTTTCTAGATTACGTTTCTATCATTTGGATTCTAATGTTGCTTTTTTTGTTAACTAAGAATAAGAAAACTGGCATATACATGTACCTAAAGTGATCTTCATTATTTTCTACATTCTTTCCTCATTGACTAAATGTTTTCTGTGTTCCAAGCTCTTTGCCAGATGAGTCAAGTACACCTAACTTTTAAAAACTTCATATTTATGCCCTGGCTGGTGGGATTGAGTGGATTGAGCACCAAAGGGTAGAGGGTTCAATTCCCAGTCAGGGAACATGCCTGGGTTGTGGACCAGGTCCCCCAGTAGGGGTGCATGAGAGGCAACCACACATTCATTTTTCTCTCCCTCTCTTCCTCTTTTCCCCTTTGTGTAAAAATAAGTAAATAAAATCTTTTTTTTTTTAACTTCGTATTTCCACCCTGGTTTGTGTAGATCAGTAGATTGAATGATGGCCTGCAAACCAAAGGGTCGCTGGTTACACTCCCAGTCAGGCACTCCCTGGGTTGCAGGCCAGGTCCCCAGTGGTGGGTACATGAGAGGCAACCACACATTGATACTTCTTTCTCTCTCTTTCTCCCTACCTTCCCCTCCCTAAAAATAAATAAAATCTTTTAAAAATAATAACTTCATATTTCCTTGGGAAAGTATAGCTTGATAAGCACTCTGAGAAGTTTTAAAGCCCCAAAAGGGATATCAAGTAATTACATCATTGAATAAGTATTTTATAGAATATATTTGAGTTAAGGTTGGAGGTTCAATAGTAGCTCACAGGGTGGAGAAGGGCATTCCATTTAAAGAGAAAACAGTGTACAAAGGCACAGACCAGTCTGCAAAGATTTTTCATATATTAGACTGACTTAAAAGTTTAGTGTTTCTGAAATTCAGTGGTGTTGTGGAAAATAAACATTGTTTCCCAGAATACAAGTTGATCTACAAGTAACTGCCTACCAAAATGAATTGAACATTAAGAAAGCACAAAACCATGGACTTTACTGGTGCTAAGATAACTCTCCCATTAAGCTATAGTAAATTAAAAGTGGTATTTTTATGAAAGGAAGTGAAAAGTACAAGTTTGTGTTTAAGACAATAACTCTGGTAACTGTAGAAAGTGAACTGAATGAGAGTTAACTAATGACAGAAATTTACATATCCATTAGAATGTTATTACAGATTGAATTTAGTCAAGAAAGAGTAACAATGAAAGATGGGAGTTTAATATTTAGAGATAAATCTGACTCGGTGTGGTTTAGGTGATCATTATGTAAATCACAACACTATTTTGCATTGAAAAGATTTTTCATTGACTCGCCAGTGAGGTATATATCACATAAACTCTTTGAACTCTGTTCCTGCTTCTTGGTCATGAAAATGTTTATTATGTTTAGTTTCAGCTTTTAATAATAGCAAATTCTCTTAAATAACCAAGACTTAAAGATAGACATTTTTCCCTCTAATTTAAAAGATATTGTAAAGTACACATTTCAAGGTTAATATGGTATCTTCAAGGTGTCTTCAAGAACCTAGACTCCTTTTTTTGTTCTGTTCTTCCAATTCAGCCCCAGGCTTACATTTCTGTTGTTTCCTCGTAAGTGTGAACTCTTTTTGTTAGGAAACACTATGGACTGTGTCTCCATCAAAATTCATGTATTCCAGCCCTAATCCACACTGTATTAATATTTGAAAGTAGGGCCTTTGGGAATTAATTAGGTCATGAAGGTGAAGCCTTCCTGAATAGGATTAGTATTGTTATAAGAAGAGACACTGAGACAGATAATTTCTTTCTACCATGTGAAGATACAGTAAGAGAGCTGTATCTGCAAACCAGGAGGAAGGATCTCACCAGACCCTAACCCTAATCTTGGACTTCCCAGCCTCCAGAACAGTGAGAAATAAATGTCCATTGATTAAACCACCTACTCTATGGTGATTTGTTATAGCAACCAAAAATGATTCAGAAAGGAAACTTCAAAACCTCATTTAGAGACAGAGGCCAGAGCATGGTCAGTTAACCACACTTCATCTACAGGGAAGGCTGGGAAATCATGGTCTTTATTCCATATGATAATGTTGGGGAAAAAATTAGCACAATTAATTAGATAATGGAAATGCATTTTGAGGTGATCTAATAGAGTTATAATTTTAAAGCAATAATACTGCTAAATAGAGAAAACAAAAATATGTTTATCAAGTTTTCTGCTAAAGGACTTCTGGCCAAGATGGAGGCATAGGTAGATGTCCTTTGCCACTTCCCAAAACCAAAAGAAAGACAACAAATTTAAAAACAAAAACAACCACAACTGACAGAAAATGGAACTGTATAGAAGTCTTGACAACTAAGGAGTTAAAGAAGAAACATTCATCCAGAGTGGTAGGAGGGTCACAGACAGGCAGCTGGGGCAGAGAGGATGCTCGGCACCGGGGCCACTGGCAGTCCCACATTTGTGTGTAGATAAACTGGGAGGATTAAGTGGGGAATGAGACAAACCACAAAACCCCATAAGGTTCCAGTGTGGGGAAATAAAGCCTAAAACTCTGTGGGGGTTGTGGTGGTGAGAAAAACTCACAGCTTCATAGAAGAGTTTGTTGGTGAGCCATAGGGGACCCACAGGGTCCTACAATGTACACAAACCCACCCACCCTGGAATCAGCACCAGAAGGGCCCAGTTCACTTGTGGGTAGTGGCAAAAGTGACTGAAAGCTGTCACTTACTCAGTAGCATTGTTCTGTCTCTGATCCCTCCCCCACAGACAACACCGCAACACAGACACCTGGGCTAAAAAATAAACAGCTATGAGGGGAGAGTGTGATTCAATCAAAATTGGATTAAGATGAACCAGAATCGGTATGGAGGATATATTAGATGAGTAAATATTAGAAGTAAGAACACCACATAAAAAGCAGGAAACCTTTGAGATTCTTCAGGATGGAAGTAATGTCGAACTAAGGTGATAGTAGTTACCAGATGTTAGAAAGCATGAACTCTTGAAATTTCTTTACAAAATTGAAAGGAATTAAAAAGCTGATTGGGTGGTAGAGGGTAAAGGACAGAGCTAGAGTCAGTAATGATTGAAGTTTTAAATTTTTTATTTGTGTTGATGATCTCATTAGCTAAGCTATAGATAAATGTGATACAGCTACTACTTCTTGGTTTAACTAAACCTCTATTATTAACGTACATTTATATACACACCAAAATAATATCTAGTAATATACTCATTAAACTATTACAAGAAAATAACCTATGTAATACTTTTCTTTTTCTTTTTTTTATACATTTAATTGATTATGCTATAAAAGTTGTCCCATTTCCCCCTTTTCTCCTCTGCCCTACACATCCCCTCCCACCAACATTCCCCCCCTTTAGTTCATGTCCATGAGTCGTACGTGCAAGTTCTTTGGTTTCTGCATGTCCTATACTATTCTTAGCCTCCCCCTATCATTTATGCTTCTTATTCCATATACCTTTACCCCCTTTTTACCCCTACCCTGCTCATAACCCTCCATTTCTTTGATTCATTTACTGTGCTAGTTGTTGTTTGTTTTTGTTTTTAGGTTCAGTTGTTGGTAGTTGTGAATTTGTTGTCATTTTACTGTTCATATCTTTGATTGTGTACTTTTTCTTAGATAAGTCCCTTTAACATTTCATATAATAAGGGCTTGGTGATAATTAACTCTTTCAGCTTAACTTGATCTGGGAAGCACTTTATTTGCCTTTCCATTCTAAGTGAAAGTTTTGCTGGATCGAGCAATCTTGGGTGTAGGTCCTTGCCTTTCACGACTGTGAATACTTCTCTCCGGCCCCTTCTTGTTTGTGACGTTTATTCTGAAGTCAGCTGACAGTCTTATGGGAACTTCTTTGTAGTTAACTTTCTCCTTTCCTCTTGCTGCTTTTAAGATTCTCCTTTAATCTTGGGTAACTTAATTATGATGTGCCTTGGTGTGTGCTTCCTTGGGTCCAACTTCTTTGGGACTCTCTGAGCTTTCTAGGTTTCCTAGAAGTCTGTTTCCTTTGTCAGATTGGAGTTCTCCATTATTTTTTCAAATAGGTTTTCATTTTCTTATTCTTCCTCTTCTCCTTATGGCACCCTTATGATTCAGATGTTGGAATGTTTAAAGTTGTCGTTTATGTTCCGCAGCCTCTCCTCATTTTTTTGAATTCTTGTTTCTTACTGTTTCGTTTGACTGTTTATTTCTTCTTTGTGCTCCAAACCATTGATTTGACTTCTGGTTTCCTTCCCTTCACTGTTGGTTCCCTGTACATTTTCCTTTATTTCACTTTCATAGCCTTCACTTTTTCTTCTAATTTGCAACCATACTCAACCAATTCTGTGAGCATCCTGATTACCAGTGTTAAACTGCGCATCTAATAAGTTGGTTATCTCTTTGTGGCTTAGTTGTATTTTTTCTGGAGCTTTGATCTGTTCTTTTCTTTGGGCCTTTTTTTTTTTTCCTTGGCATTCCTGTTCCATAGTGAGGGGTGGAACCATAGGTATTTACCCGGGCGGAACAAACTCTCTCAATGTGTTTTTTGTGCTGTATGTTTGGGAGGGGTCTGAGAGGTAACAATACCACTTGGTCAGCTCTCTGCCTGCTTTAAGTCACTTCCC